ACAAACAAAGACATTCAAAAATATCAGCGCTTCGATTGAGCTCGTCCAGGTGTCTCGCCCAACCAGATTTGAATGAATTACAAAATGCTGCTGCAGCTTTCGCACCTGTCATCCGCAAAACAGTTGAGAAGCGGCGTCAGGGGGGTGTCCCGTATGCAAATATAAGATTGCGGATCAGTTGCTGGTGCCCACGTGGTGCCCGGTGGCAACAGTTGCCCCACTAAGGGTATTGCTGGTTATTGAAATTACTATTCCGGCATTTGCATACATCGATACATTCGTGTTGGCCATAGAACCGGGTGGACGGGCCAGGCTAGACCAGCTGACCATAGAAATAAACGCGAATCTGAGTGCAGTGGCAACAACAATGATCGCTAATCATCATCTTGGCAAATATATTATTGTGTCTCAGTCATTCTGCTTTGTTTTTTTGTTCAGCACAGAATTCGAGTGGGTTCTGAAAAACGACCGGGTGCCGGACAGCGGCGGACTGTATAACCCGAATTACGGGTAATTACGTCGTCGCTGTCGCTCTCGCTTGTTCGACAAACGCAAATTGAGCTGAGCAGACGAGACGAATGGGGGAGATTTGTATCTTTAATTTCGACCATGAAGATAACCGATGCAAGGATGAGATCTCATTATTACACATCTCAGACTTGGGGATCGGTGAGTCGAGATTCGAGCATGAAGTGAGTGAGCAAATAATTATTTATATTTAATTGTTGTCTAGAGTTCAGGGCTTAAGTGCTTGGCACAGATCACAGAAGCCCTAGTCATAGATTGGCCACAAAATTACTCATAAATGTATGTAATATGTACATACTCATGTGTAGTACTCTCCGAATCGGTCAGTACGATACCATATATCCATAATTAGAGTGGTCTGGCAATTAGACGCTGGTTTATCAATTAAAAGTAATTCTAATAGTCTGCGACACCTGGCCAACCTTTCTAATTGCTCAACAATGACTTGACTTGGGCTTCTTATTGGGGATGAAATTCCATGGATCAAAATGGAAATTATGGACTTGCAGCTGCAGCTGATCCTCGGCTTTAATTTGAACCGGTGGGACACAGATACTTAGCACATAGCACAGATACTTAGCCTACAATTGTCGGGTTGAAATTCTTATTAGACGGGTTTTGGGTTGATTTCCTCATCGGGGGGAGTGAAGGTAGAGAGAGAGAGGGAAAGAGTGATCGTTGCATGGCCTTCGGTTCGATTATTGAAATTAAAAAACACTCGCGGATAAATTATAGAAAAGGGAATGTTAATCAAATCCAGACACAGGCAAACTTATGCAATTGCCAGTTCATCGCTCATTAGCAACTTGAACTTATCCATAATATATACAAATATACATATGTACATATATTGAATTGCTATATTTTCGAATTCCACGATAATTGTGATCTTCGTGACTGCCCCCACAACAATATGTCCCGTCCACACCCCCTGCTTGGCAGGGGGCATCCAAAGACGCCCACCTGCAAATTATGAGGGACTTTGGGTTTCTCGATGGGATGTGGGAACACGATTCAGATTCGATGTCGTTCGACTAAATTGAAATTGAAACTCAAATTAAATGCCTGCCAGATTCTTTGTTTAATAAATTCCTATTTAAATTGTGCCTTCAACATTTTGAGATAATGCCAAATTTATACAACACGTTTGAAGAACAAATTGCTACAACTCGAAACGATCGAAGAAGATTCATTAGCGACGAACATCTTCGCTGCGTCTCTTCCCTCATTCTAATTGACACCCTCTTCTGGGCTGTCTGATCGAATTCTGTTTCTGCTTCGATACTTTTTGTTTGGTTTTTGTTTTGTTTTATTTGCTTCAATGCGGTCTGCTTTTTGGGGGGAGCTTTCCTTCCTGCTTCTTTGCTCTGCACCGCATCGCTCTGATAAGATTGCTCAGACTTCAGAACTCATTAGGTCTTTGGGGGCGTGCCACTCGACGAAGGCATCTCTTCCCGTTGCCATTACTCATTAGTGTTTTGTTGCCGGAGCGACAGAGTTGCGTCAATATTGAACACAAACCTCAAATATAAATACAAACTTTTAATGGTTTAAGTTGTAGTTGAAGTGACTTGAGGTTCCACTGGGTGGACACAGAGGGGAGTTTCAAGCCTTTCACATATGTACATTTGTACATATATACGTACTTGTGTATGTATTTACATAGCATGTAAACACGTCTGGCATAACCAGAAGTCCAACTATTTAACGACGCTTATTAGCTTTCCATTATTAACGAGGGGTGGAATCTGGACAGATGCCTAATCACTGCATCATTGTTTATACTTAGAGTCTACCGTTGGTTGCTTATGCGATGAAAAATCCAGCAAGCTAAGGCGATCTTATTGTAGATCCTTAGACTGCTTGCTTGAGCCTTTCGAGCAATTTGTACTTTGTTTAGTTCCAATATTGTTCCATCAGGGAGCCAAGTCAGAAAAAAAATCATGTTCTTATATTTTCCAGCTTTTTCTTGGTTCCCGCAATGCCACAGGAATAACCCAAACAGTCTGATTTGTAGAATACAATTACACTTACACTTGGATAAAGATGTGGCTGCTCTCCCTCTTGTTCTGCGATCAATTTGACACTGACACACAAAAAATACGAGTACTATTCTGTGGAACTCGTGCGAACAAACATGCGCGACGGCCAGCAATTGAACGGCAACAGACAGCAGGGCGTGTAATATTCCAATGTCTTTCGATTTCACAGTTCTTTCAATTAGCCAAATGTAAGATAACGCGACAGGAAAAAAAAAAACCACACACACCCGATGCGATGCGAGGCGATGTGCTCAAGCACAGCCACCCACAGCAAAGAAAAAATATATGTAGATAGTGTACACTATTCCGTGTGGTCGTGATCCCGGGCGAGATGAGAACAGTTGTGCTTCTGCAGATCGCTCGGAGTGGAATCGTATTCGGTTTGGTATAAATTCTTTTTGGGCACGTCCAATGGGCTGCGTTTTGCAAACACAACTAAAACACGGCTCCGATTGGCGTGGTTTAAAAAGGAAAACCCAACGCCCGAATGCCGAACACAAAAGCCAGGCCCGAAGAAACCAAACGATCGCTTTGTGATCAAGCAGCAGAGCCGTCAGAGACGCAGTCGCAGCAGCAGCCGAGAGAGCCAGCCACCAGCCTCGCGTCTCGTGTGGGCGCTGCTCTCCCGCTCTCTCTGTGTTATTTTTGCTTAGAGAATCCGCATGTCGAATGCTGCTGCAACCTTTCTCCATCCGCGCTTTGTGGCCTGGCCAAAAATAGGATTCCGATCGGCCAGATCGAACAAAGGACTGATTAATCCGCCAAAAATCGAGTGAAATTTGTTAGGGCCGTGCCTCCTTTTCACGTGTGCGCTTGCTCATGGCGGCGCGGCGCATTTGAACTGCTTGCTTTGTCTGCATCATGCAGGTGCCAGATGCAGCTGACACTGCTTGTCATCGGTGGATTCGAGCAGTGGTGGGCAGAATGAGCGCCTTCCATCATGCATCCACAAAAATAACAAAAATCATCGATTTTCGTATTGCCTATTGGCTCTTTAAATTGTGGTAAACAAGCGACTCATCCGAGAGAGAGGAAACCAGTTGTCAGCGATGGAAAATCCACGCATAATCTCAACTTGAGACTAGTGGGGCTTTCCCCTCCACCTTTAGCAGCTCTTTTTCGCTCTCCCAAGATCTCATCATGTTGGGCATGATGACGATGATGATGGGGACGGTGACGGGGATGGAGATGGGGATGGGTATGTGGATGTGGATGATGAGCGGTTTTTGTCTGTGCCTTGTTCTGCTTGATCCCAGGCGAGCCGAAACGAACTCCAACTTTTCGGACGGATGCTTTCGTAGAATTCATAAAAAAAAAGAAGCTTGAGAGAATTCTAGGGGTCGAAGCATGTAATACACTTGCATAATATGATATTCATGAAACAATTATAGGGCTGTGTTTTAATTTCTTTGCGTTTAAGATCTTGGCCGAGAAGACATTGAAGTCGAGTCCAGTCGAAACACATGTGCCTCGCATTAAGATTAACATTAACTGGTGCTATGTGTCTATAAGTTCATTGGAAGAGATCTAGCGATGGACATACAAAATAATCAAAACTAAAGATTTGGGGCTAGTAGTTGTAACAATTAAGCATATTTTATACTTAAAAGAACACGGAATTCACAACAAATTTTATATTTTTAAAGTGTATTTAGACCGAGCATAATTGATGGCCTATTTATTCTCGGTTTTGGCCAGTATTGGCCTATTATTATGTTTTCGAATCTAGCTTGAATGCTCTCTGAAATGTATCGTATGGTAGACGATGAAGCACCTTTTGTAAGGGTATAATCGGATGCAAAATCAAGTTTCAAGCCCAGGTCTGGGGGTTCTGAGCCTGCAATTGGACGGGGATTTTGTTTGCTTTTGTCAGTCTGATTTCTGCAGTTGCTACACTATTATTATCAAAAAAAGTCATGCAGCCAGTCATGTGCGTGTCGTAAATCTGTGCACTCTGATGGGAGGGTGGAGGAGGTACCGGTACCCCGTTTACAGCTGACTCACGGGTCGCAGCTTCCCCTCGGAACCAGTTTCAATGGTGATTTTTTTTTGCTTTTGCCGCAGGTGTTGGTCTTTGGGTATTTTTGTTGCTGCTGCTAATTTGCCGAGATGTGGAGTCTTGGACACCACCGCTCATGTGACGTCAGTGGAGAGAACTGTATGGGGTATTGGAGCTACCTGCCTACCATGGGAAGTGTCAAGTACGGGCCAAGCTCTTGTGGGTGGGTGGGGGCATGGGCTTGGGCGTCGGTGTTTTGTATCGTTTGGTTTGCTTTAGTGTGCTTCTTGGATATTCTTTTGAGTTCTTTTCGGTTTTGCTTGAACGCCCACGAGCCACGGGCCGCAAGCGGTGAGTCGCTGCTTTCAAGGCAGCATTCGGTTGGCAGCTCCAGTTAAGTGTTTTTCCTTTTGTTGTTGCTTTTTTGTTAGAACCGGATCCTTGACTGATGTGGACTCTAAGACAGCGAGCGACGACGGTGACACGAGCACGTGTGCACTTTTGTGGAATGCCGCAACAGCGACAGCGGAGGAAGAGCAGTTCCCCGACACTTGACCTCCAGGGATAATGCGCTTGCGCATGCCCCGCCTGGTGGCGTTTGGGTATCTTCCGTTGGAGATCGGTTATCCGGGCATGCGCGGAAAATAAACACCTTCAATTATGCATGAATCATGAATAAATTGAACACACAAAGAGTGCTCTAAAAATACATGCACAAACGACCTGGTATACTATACTATACTCGTATTAAAATCAGAAAGTTACAACAATAAACATTCCATGTTGCTGGCAGCCAAAGAACGAAGCGGTGCAGGAGTTGGCTTTTGGTGGTTTGGTGCACCGGTTGGTGGACCGGTTTTTGTGGTCAAGGAACCGAACCGGCAAGGTTCAGTACTCAGTACCGCCCCACCATGGCGTTCCTTCCAATATTTTCTTGTTTTGTTTTAATTTTTTTTGTTTTTTGGCCAACCGAACTTCACCTTTTTTGATTAGCAACATAAATTTTACGGTCATGTCCAGAACGAACACGCTAATAAATGACTAACAGAAAAGGGACACTGCGGTTAGGATCCAGAGAACTGGATGGCCTTTAGCTCCGAAACTCCCCTTAATTAGAATCCATTGAACCCAGTAACATTTTTTGTTTTAATTTTGCAAACTTGAATCACAATCCAGTTGGTTCGGTCGATGCGTCGGCCTTGGAGGAGTTCTTCCTAGGAGACGCAAAACATTCCTTAAATTATTCATTAAATAAACATTAGCTTAAAACCCCATACTTATTCGTATCCCTTCCCACCAATCAGCCGTTTGGTCCGCGACCTCTGCATGCGCCGAAATAGCTCAGTTGGGAGAGCGTTAGACTGAAGATCTAAAGGTCCCCGGTTCAATCCCGGGTTTCGGCATTCAGAATGCTTTTTTGGTTCGCTTTCATCCATCAGTTTGTTGCTTTCCTAGAACATCATTTACTTTGATTGCGCATTAAATAGGTAATTTGATAATACAATTCTTTTGAAATTTTCGATTCAAGCCTCCGAAAAGCTGGTGGCGCCATCTATCATCGAAACACAGTGCTGCCAGACTGTCAAAAAAATAAGGACGGCGCTTTGCGAAAATTCAAATTAACATGTTCAGCTCAAATTCAAAACATGTGGTCTACTTCTCGAACATTTGATTAGAAAAATCCATATTAGGCTTAACTCCAGCATATGTACTTCAAGACAGAGACAGCACGAGACACAACGACAAATGAAGCTTTGGCAGGCATCTCCTCATGTCTGACAACTATTAGGTCCAATCAATCAAATGCAGAAAACCCTAGCAGCACAGCTTAATATGAACGTAACCCATCTGGGGGATCCCTACATTTCGAGACCAAGTAGTGTAGTACAAAAATGTTTTACTTTATTGCGTTGCCACACGCTTTCCTAGCCTAGCAAAAAAAAAAAAAAGAAAAACAAAGAATGTTTGAGGTAAAAGCCAAACGCATCACATTTCCAAGTTAGCAAGTCAACCGCTTGCGTTGTAATTTCTATCATCCTTATCAACAGCGCACCGGCCACATCCTTGACAACATTAATATACACACACGGTCGCACATTTAACTTTCATTAAGTTATAATATTAATAAAAAAAAAAGATGAATTCTTTCAATTGTTGACACCGGCTTGGGCGGCTGGCCCAGAACACATTTTATTCAGAACGCAACATCTTCTCCTTCTGGCGCTGCAGCTTCTTCTTGGAGAGCTTCTTCTTCGCGGGCTCATCGTCGGTGGCCTTTGAGACGACCTCCTCCTTCTCGGTGAGAATGACCTCGACGTGGCACGGCGATGACATGTAGGGATTAATGCGACCGTGGGCACGGTATGTGCGGCGACGCAGGCACTGGGCGCGGTTCACCTGGATGTGGTGGACGACCATGCGATCGGCATCGAGTCCCTTGCAGTCAGCATTGGCCTCAGCGTTGCGCAGCAACTGCAGCAGGAATTCCGCAGACTTCTTGGGCCAGCGACCCTGTGTGGTCTTCCACTGCTTGGCCTGGGCGCAACGTCCAACGCCGCCATTGAAACGACGGAAGGGCACACACTCCTTCTGGTCGATCACAGCCTTCAGGAAGCGCTGGGCACGGCGCAGGGGCATGCGCTTGATGGCCTGAGCAGTCTCATGTGTATTCTGTGGACAACAAATTACACATTAGTATGATTAAACAAACAATTTCAAGGCTATGGGCAAGCCTTGAGTCAAATTCTTCTTAAGAGAGGGTTGTGCCAGAGTTCAGGTAGAGACGCGAGCATTGAGGGCCAGCACGCCGCTGTTTTAGCAATGGTTGGAGTTCACTTTGGGCACAACTATTTTTATGGTTTCATGTGAGGCAACCACTGTATGTAGTCGTTGTGCCTGCCAGGAGAGTCACTGAAGTTGGTTCATAGAATTACGCTAAAGGCTAGCGCTTATAGAGAGTAACTGCAGAGCTACAAAGAAGCCAAGGCTCCATGTGCTGCTCAGTCACACCATTAAAGCAAAGAGAGGCATTGTGCCAGAGTTCAGGTAGAGACGCGAGCATTGAGGGCCAGCACGCCGCTGTTTTAGCAATGGTTGGAGTTTACTTTGGGCACAACTATTTTGATGGTTGCATGTGTAGCAACCACTGTAGTTAGTCGTTGTGCCCACAAGGAGATTCAGGCACTGTGCCGAGACTCATATGCGGATCGCATGTGGAGCATCGGAGGCACAACCGTTAGTAAAGATGCTGATGCCAGCGTACTGAGGAGTTCTAGAGATGTGGACAAGATTTTGGAAGAGCGCGTCAAGGATGGAGACTGCGCTCAGCTGATGAATTTGTCCAGCAAATTACTCTAGCAACGATGCAAAAGCGAGATGCTGCTTGCGGGCAGGCATTCACTGATTTAAGTTGCCATATCTACAGATATACACATAACCACACTTCGCTCTCTCAACAATAACAACAATGGGCAGGAGCGGCGTCTTGAGGTATGCTCACCTTGAAATGCACACGTAGATTGGGTCCGCGCGCCTTGCACGACTTGGTGACGTTGTCTGATTCACGGGAGTAGCGGCCCATTGTTCAATATCTGCAAGATATAGCAAATATCAACATTAGTAAAGACACAAACACTTTAACCAACAAAAAAAAAATGGTATTGCACAGAAAAAAATAAAACACAAGTTTCCCCAGCGAATTTTCGGCCAATGCAATTGAGTTCTGTTTGATATTTTGTGCACATTGAGTAACGCAATTCATTCGCTTGGAGATTTTGCGCGTTTAACTAAACAATCTATTTACATGCCGGCGATGTTTATAAAATAAGTGAGGCACAAAATTATATCAGTACCTCCTAGTTGGTGAACGAAACCGGAAAAGAACTTTTGACATGCGATTGGTTGCGAGTGTGACCGAATCGAATTCGGGCCATCATAAATATACCGAAATATACCTTCTAGTTGTCAAAATATACCGTAAATATACTGATCCCCGGTGATGAAAATATAAGAAGACCGATAAAAAAGAATCATAAACAATTACCATATTTACCAGATTGCTCAACTATTTCTCTCTCACACGCTGCCATGGAAAAATTAATTGAATATACCATTATATATACCGATATACCGATAACGAAACGCAAATATATATACCGCTGACGCTTTTATCAACTTTCATATAACAATCAATCCCAATACGATCTTAAATTATTGTATATATATATAGGATATATAAGCTTAATAGGTATTCAGCAATTTTAGAATATATCCCGGAAATATGGTATTTTCTAATATTATTTTAAAAATAGACACATGTAACCGCCGAAATCTTTCATCTTATCGCACAAAGCTACCGATATTTTTTTTAGCTTCCCTGTTCATCGAAACTGTAGTCAAAACAACATAATAATAGTGTTGACTTACCCAATATGAGGAAAATAATTCCCCCGATGATATATCCAATTCACAATAATATTTCCAACAACATTTCATGCAGTGCAGTATAAAGGAATGTCACTTAAAAATATATCATCTGCAATCGATATATCGATATTAGTGAACGACGCGGAGCAACGCTACCTATTTATTTATTCTTCGCGGATTGTTGTTATTAGTTTTATCTTGAACGCAACCAGGCAAAGCAAATCAAACCAGCGACCAGCCACAAGCAGCTTCTCATCTGCCTGGCTCGTAATTTTTTTGTTCAACTAGCGTGATATTTACGTTGCAGAAGTGAAATTTCATTTTGTTTACGCTGGGCCAAAAAGAAAAACCAAAGAAACAGCAGAAAAGGAGAAGAAAAGTGAAAACTGTTCTTTGACGAAGCGAAACGGAGACGACGTATAAATGAGAGTGTGTGTGTGAATCCGTCGCGTACTTGAATCCGAATATCTGGTCCGATCTGTGAATCGGCTGCGCTCTGCGCCCCCGCAGAAGCCATGCAAAACGATGATTCCATTCCGCAATGGACGAGGCGTCTTTAACATTCTGTGATCTGTGAGTGTCGCTGCTCGAGAACGTGAATCAAAAAGGAGGACAAGTGCCAGAATAAGAACTAGATGTGGATGTGCGTGCTAGCCAGTAAGACAAGTTAAGCGAGACACTCGACACTCGACACTGACCACCAACCCGACAATCCACAAACACATCGTCATCGCCTCATCATGGCCATCAAAGACTTAAGCAGACAACTGCTAATCACATTAATGCTCATCGGAGCTCTGCTTGGCCAGCAGTTGCCCAACGAAGAGACTAGCAGCAGCAGCAGCGGCGACCCCTCTGCTCCCTCCTCCACAAGCGCACCTGGTTCGGCACGACCACCACCACGGGTGACGCTCAACAAATGCTGCCATTTGGGGGAGTATCTCAATGGCACCACCCGCTCCTGTATAGCGGGCAACTCAGAGCTGTGGGTGCCCATGGTGTACCTCATACAGCAGCAGCGCTTCTTTAAGCCCATTGGCGCCAGTCCGCGCTTCATGAAGTTCACCGCCCACGTACGACCCGTCTGCCAGGAGCAGCAGCTGGAGCTGTTCAGCAGTAGGCCGGGCAATGTCATCATTTTCCCTAATGGCACACTGTCGGTGCGCGAGCGACTGATTCTGGTGGAGCCTCACAACTATTGCGTCGATCGGGATGTGGCATTGGTCTGCCTGGAAGCGCCCGCAGCTGCAACAACAGGTAACCGAGAGACTGCACCCGCACGGGGAACCGAAACGGGAATGGCATCCCTGGTGACGCCGCCTGCAACGCTGCGCATGCGCAAGTGCTGCGGCAAGTGGGGCAGCTACGACACCAGCCTGAAGACCTGCAACCTGCAGCCCAGTCCCCCCACAGACGGTCAGCTTCGGCTGGGCCCACAACTACCGGAGGGCAGCTATCAGACCAGCTACGGCCTGCCCGAGTGCGTGGCCACAAATGCAAATACAAATATCGGCTATGCCATTGCCGGCGACTGGCACGAAGCCCAGCTGAATCGATCCTCGGGCGAGATCCGGCTGTCGCATCACACCAATCTCAGTGCCAGCCAGTACTGCCTGGAGCACACGCAACGCGAGGGAGAAGTGAAGATCATTGCCTGTTCGCATCACTTTTCACACGCCACACACGGCGACGGTCAGAATGGGGGCTCCGGCGCACTGGACGAGGATGGCCAAAGCTCGGGAATGCGACTGCAGAAGGCCGTCCTAACCGGCGGCATACTCGTCTCGGTGGTGTTCCTGGCGGCCACACTCGTTGCCGGCTTTATGCTGCCCGCGGTCCATCATGCTCTACACTGGCGCTGCCAGATCTGCTACGTCTTCTGCCTGCTGGTGGGCAAGGTGCTGCTGGCCATCGAGGAGCTGAACACATCGATAATGCCGGGCTCCGTGGCCTGTCTGCTGCTGGCCATTGGCATGCAGTTCTTCTTCCTGTCGGCCTTCTTCTGGCTGAACACGATGTGCTTCAATATCTGGTGGACTTTCCGGGACTTTCGACCGAGCTCCCTCGAGCGGAATCAGGAGGCGCTGCGACTGCTCCTCTACTCCGTGTACGCCTGGGGCGTGCCCCTGCTGATCTCAACGATAGCCGCCTGTGTGGACCAGCTGCCGGAGACGACGCTGCTGCGGCCGGGCTTCGGGCAGCTCTATTGCTGGTTCGACAATCGATCGGTGTCCATTTTTGCCTACTTCTACGGCCCCATTGGGCTGCTGCTCTGCGCCAATATTGCCCTGTTCATCTCCACCACCCACCAGCTGACGTGCGGCCTGTGGAAGCGGGACGATGTCAAGTCGTCCACGGAAAAGTCGGCCCTCGGCAAGGTCTGCCTCAAGCTGGTCGTCGTGATGGGCGTCACATGGATAGCGGACATCATGTCGTGGCTAGTGGGTGGGCCCCATGGCGCCTGGTTCGTCACCGACCTGATCAATGCCCTACAGGGCGTTTTCATATTCATTGTGGTCGGATGCCAGCCGCAGGTGTGGACCGCCTGCAGGCGCATCTGCTGTCCGCGGCTCCGTCACGACATCACCAACACCACCAATGGAGTCCAGCACTCGAGCAGCTCCCAGGGCCTGCCCTCGATGGCCGGCTGTGGCACAGAGTTCACGCAAAACACCACAATGCAGAGCTCAGCTCCGAGCAGTGTCTCCCCAACTGTGGCTGATACCACCACAACCCCACCAACGACGACGAACACAGCGGCAGCACTTCCCCCCACTGCAAAGATGGAAACTGTTTGCTAAAGGTAAGTGGAGCGAACGATAAGCAGCAGATAACACAACCAAATCAAATTAAGGGAGAGAAATTTTTGGTGGGTGCAAACAGAGGTACATCCATCCATACAGACTATGTAAACATGCATTATGCTGATGGTTTTACTCGTATTTGTCTCTGCTGCCTTGGCACTGTTGTTCCGCTTTCTATTGACTCAAAATCTTAGACTGGATAACTTTCAGTAGATAATCCACTTAAAATTTACATACAAAGAGGGAGAATGATGCTATGGTGGCGTTGGCTCTGGATCTTTTGCAATGCCTACAAATATAATCAGCTGAAAGACCATTCCCTCAACCGTTATGCTGTTAAAATATTTAGAAAATAGAGAAAGGAACAAGCCGCCTAGTAATGGATGATAATCCACAATTAATTCAAAGCCACCAAATCAGTCGTCTACTTTATTATAATTTCATGCAGCTTTTACACGATTATTCATCGTCCTGCCTACCATACATAGTATGTATGTGTGTGTGTTTCACGTCTCCTGGATGAGATTCGCAGAAGATTTACCCAGTTAGCGCTCAGCATGCTGCAGCACAGGCACAGCGGAGAGCGGCCGGCGCCTGCCAGAGAGAAAAAGTCCAACACGTTGTCTTTGTCATTCATTCTTTTTGCTTTTGTGTTGTCTTGGGTTTTATTATTCCTTTTGGGAAACCTACTATTGCGCCAGGGTTATATGTACTTCGGGTCTTTCTCTTTGGCCTGCCTGCCATTTCCCCGCATTTTCCACTGGTTGACTGACTGCTTTACAACCATGCGCCAAGTTTACGATTTAGCGTCGTTTCTGGGCACTTGAGAAATGGCCATAAAATGAAAATGTAGCCACGTTTTGTTCGGTGGAAATTTTGGAAAAACGAATGCAAACAGCGATTGGGTCAGAGTTTTCGAGTTCAGGTTCCCAGTTTCCTGTAGAAGATTTCCACATGGCCATAAAATAATAAAATAATCAACGCGCAGCGCAACCCTTGACACACACACATAGCCACAGGCACATTGAGATAATGCCCACCAGTGGGTATCTGCATCTGGAGGAAAGGGAAAATTGAAAATTGAGTTTAAATTGGACTCACCGGCGGCGACGTCGGGCGACGAACATGTGATAAGCACCGCTTCGTCGGACGCCGGCCGCCGCCTCAAGTGGTCTTGACACATCGCAAATGAGCCAAAGTAAACGCCATTCATTCCATCCCATCCCATTTCAGTATTCAGAGGTGAGAGTATTTTTCGGTTCGTTCCGAACCATGTGATAGCCAGAACCACATTGGGAAGATACTGAAAAGAGCTGAAGTTCAACCATATTTGGTTGCAGACTATTAGAACGGACTACAAGAACCACATGTTTCCAAGATACTATAAATTCTGGAGAAATTACCTTTTGCAGCTAGTCAGCCCACATAGTACAATCATAAAAACAAACCTGAAACAACACGTTTTCCAGAGACTATAAAAAAAAAGATGAAAAAAATAGAAGCAAAACACATTTTGCAGAGACTATAAAAAATACTTGAGGAAGAACATATTGCCAGGAGGCACTAAGTATGTAAGAGTCAGCGAAACAACACATACATTTTGCAGAAAAATGTAAAAAACACATGTTAAAAGCTAGCGAAAGAATTGAAATTCCAGAGGTAG